GTTTGGCCGCTAGAATCCTTCACTTTACTCATAGAAAAAGCAAACTAAAATACATTTTTGTTTTTAAAAATAAAAAAAAAACGAATTAAAAAAAATTTTTTATTTTCGACAAAAATTAATTTTTCCTTTTTTTATTTTTAAATACCTGGAAAAGTATTACGAAAATTTTTGCTCATTTTAAAGAGATAATAATTTTTGTTTATAAATAATTTTGTTTAAAAAAATTTTTTTTTTTTATTTTATAAAACAAATAATAAATATAAATATTTATTTGGCTCTAAGATAGATGTTATTAAAAAAATATATCTAATTTTAAAAAACCTCGAAATATCCAGATTTTTAAAAATTCATAACTGAAAAATTAAGGCACTTATAAAAAAAAAATTGTATACCATTTTTTTCTGTAAAGAACGAAAATTTTTTTTTTTAATATATTATATATATTTTATATATATTATTTATTTTTAATAAAAATTTTGGATTAAAAGAATGAATTAAAAAACAATAAAAACTTTCCAAGATTAAAGTAAAGATTTGAGTGATTCAAATTTAAACATAAATTAGTCAATTATATATCTAAAAGCTTTAGTGGCTTAATGTTCAGTCTAATAATCATTTCAAAAAAAACATCATTACCGTTTATTTAATAAATTTCTTTTATTAAAAAAAAACTTGTTGATAAGTTTTAATAATGAAATTTTTTATCTTAGAAACAAAATCTATTGTTGAGAAATTAATTATCATTTACTAAATAAATTTATATGTTATAAAAAAAGTTAGTTGATATTTGATTATAATGAAACTATTAAATTTCAAAAAAAAAATCTCATTAAAGAGCAATTTATAAAATAAATATTTATATTTATAAAAAAAAATTTTCTTGCAATATTTTTTTGTTGAAATAAGAGATTTAATACCTATAAATTACAATATATTAGATTTTAAACAAAAATTGTTTCTTAATATAAAATAATCACATTATATACTTTTTTTAAAAGTATATACACTGAAAAAAAAATTTATTTGATTCAAATAATCGGTTACTTGATTATTATCAAATAAATATTTACTTAAACCAAATAAATTTTATTTGAATTGAATAAACTATATTTGAACCAATAATAATTTATGTATACTTAAAAGAAATATATTTAAATTGACTAAAATAAAAATTGTATATGGTTCAAGTAACCGATTATTTGAATCAAATAAATTTTTTTTTCCAATGTATCCAATATAGAGAAAAAATATACTTGTCTCAAGATGAGGTAAATAAATATTTAGTTGTTTCAAATAAAATTTCATTTAATTGAAATAAAAATTTTATTATTATCGTTTTTTAAGATTTTAAGATAAAAAATAAAAAAGGTGAACGAAATCGAAAAATTGAGATTCTAAGTAATAAGTAAAGTACCTGAATGTTTTTAAAAAGTTTTCAGAATGTAACAAACTTTAAGGATTTATTCTTAAATTAAAGTTATTCTTCGGCAATCAAACTATAATATTGTCATTCGGCTAGAAAATCAATGGGACAAGTACAGTTCCTTACATGTCCCAGAAATGTCCCAAAATATTTTTAGAGTATTTAGAAACTATTACAAAAGAGATTTTCAAGTAATCCAATTATAATATATTGTCTAGCAAGCCAAAGGTATAGGGACCAGTACTGTCCCATACATGTCCCATAAGTGTCCCAAAAAAAGTAAAGTACCTGAATGTTTTTAAAAAGTTTGAAGCATTCAAAATGTAACAACTTTAAAGATTTATTCTTAAATTAAAGTCAACAGTTTAAGGGACATAAAACTGTCCCACAATTGTCCCAAACGTGTTTAAACAATTAAAAAATAAATATAAAATTATTTTTAGGCAATCAAACTGTAATATTGTCATTCGGCTAGAAAATCAATGGGACAAGTACAGTTCCTTACATGTCCCAGAAATGTCCCAAAATATTTTTAGAGTATTTAGAAACTATTACAAAAAAGATTTTCAAGTAATCAAATTATCATATATTGTCTAGCAAGCCAAAGGTATAGGGACCAGTACTGTCTCATACATGTCCCATATGTGTCCCAAAATATTTTCAAAGTTATAAGTAACTATTAGAAGTGATTTTTCGGTAATCCAACTATAATATATATATATCGGCTATCGAGTTAAAGGTTTAGGGATAAATATCGTTCATTGTATGTCCCAGAAGTGTCCCAATGTATTGTCAGAGTAATAAGAATCTATTAAAATTGATTTTTAGGGAATCCTACTATAATATATATTGTCTATTGAGATATAGTTTTATATAGAAGTACTATTCCATGCATGTCCCACAAGTGTCCCAAAATATTTTCAGAGTAATGAAAAACTATTAAAAGAGATTTTCAGGGAATCCTACGATAATATATATCGTCCATCGAGTTTAATATTTTGAGACAATTATCCTTCAGTGCATGTCCTAGAAGTGTCCTAAAATGTTTTCAGAGTATCAAAAAATTATTAGAACTGGTTTTCTAACAAATGATGAAGAGGAATATATTTTATTTGTAAATGTTATTTTATAGGTCATACATGAAAAAAGACTTGTCCCTAAACTTCTGACTTGGTAGAGTCAGTTTACATTGTCGTTGGATTCACTAAAACTCTGTTTTTGATTGTTTCTACATACTCTAAAAATATTTTGGGACACTTATGGGACAGTACTGGTCCCTATACCTTTGCCTTGCTAGACAATATATTATAATTGGATTACTTGAAAATCTCTTTTGTTATAGTTTCTAAATACTCTAAAAATATTTTGGGACATTTCTGGGACATGTAACGAACTGTACTTGTCCCTTTGATTTTCTAGCCGAATGACAATATTATAGTTTGATTGTCTAATAATAACTTTATATTTATTTTTTAAATTGTTTAAACACGTTTGGGACAATTGTGGGACAGCATCGGGACATTTTTATGTCCCTTAAACTGTTGACATTGATTTAAGAATAAATCCTTAAAGTTGTTACATTCTGAATGCTTAAAACTTTTTAAAGACATTGAGGTACTTTACTTTTCTTTATTTTGGGACATTTATGGGACATGTCTGAAACAGCACTGGTCCCTATACCTTTGGCTTGCTAGACAATATTTTATAATTAGATTACTTGAAAATCTCTTTTGTAATAGTTTCTAAATACTCTAAAAATATTTTGGGACATTTCTGGGACATGTAACGAACTGTACTTGTCCCTTTGATTTTCTAGCCGAATGACAATATTATAGTTTGATTGCCTAAAAATAACTTTATATTTATTTTTTTAATTGTTTAAACACGTTTGGGACAATTGTGGGACATCATCGGGACAGTTTTATGTCCCTTAAACTGTTGACTTTAATTTAAAAATAAATCCTTAAAGTTGTTGCATTCTGAATGCTTAAAACTTTTTAAAGACATTGAGGTACTTTACTTTACTTATAGAATCTCAATTTTTCGATTTCGTTCACCTTTTTTATTTTTGATCTTAAAAAACTATTAATTTTGGCGAATTTTTCCATTAAAATTTTTTGTTCGGGAGGACTTTAGCTACAAAATACTTCAATTCCAGCCATTTTGACCGGGCCCGAAAATCAATGTTGCGTGTGCGGGGAATTTAATTGAAATAAATTAAATTTTGATAGAATAAAAAAATTTTGTGCGCACAAAATTAAAAAAAAACAATTTTTTTTTTTTGAATTCAAGAAAACTATTCTTTACATATAGGAATTTTTAAATTTGAAATTATATTTAAAAATTAGTTTCATTAATTTAAAAAGTAGATTATTTTTTTAATCAAATATATTTTGTTTAAAACAAAAGGTAAAAGTGTCAAAGTGAAAAAAAAAAATTTCGCAGTGATAAATTTCACATTCTGTTGATGATTTATCTAAACATGTAAACAAATCAAAGTAATGTTTTATGAAGTTTTTTTTTTTCTTTGAATAATGATAAGCTATAGGCGGATCTTAGAGACCTCCTTTGTTCGAAAATTTAACCAATAGCAATACAGCGATCAAATTATTACTTTTTCAGGAGAACCAATGTCAGTGGAGGATTCTGGCGCACGTGCATTTGCACCCCTTACGATCAAGGGTAGATTCAGGGATGTATTAAAAGAATTTTTATCCTCACAGTTATTATTTATAAACATATAAATAAAATTAATTCTATTTTAAATAAAAATATATATTTACAAAAAAAAAAAATTAACGTCATTAAAAAAATATGATACAATTAAAACAAATTTATTTGATTTAAATAAAAAAATTTATGTGCCTTAAATATAAAATTTTGTTTGTTTCTAAAAATTTTAATTTTGTTTCTAATAAATTTTTTAGGTTTAAATAAATTGTGTATTTGATTAAAATGAGAAAAATAAAAAATTTATTTGTCTTAAACAAAAATTTTGTTTGTTTCTAATAAAATTTTATTTCAACTTAATTAAATTTTTTATTTGAAACAAATAAAAATTATATTAAACCCCGAGACAAATATATCTTTATTTTCATCTCAAAATAAAAGCAAATAAAAAATTTCTCTAGCTATTTGCAATAATTATCAAATATGTATATTTATTTTTATTTAAACTAAATAATTTTTGTTTAAATCAAATAAATTGAATTCAAACCAAAAAATTTCAAATTATTTATTAACTACATTTTTTGGTATGATTTATCGTATTAATTTAATTAAAAAGTTTAATTTTCGAATGAACAGATTTCTTTTTTCAAAAATAAAAAAAAATTATTTTCTAAACTAAGGATTTTTCAAAAAATTAAATTTACACAATAAAGAAAAAAAAATTTAATAATAATTTTTTTAAAAAATTTACTTTTGTTACCCCAATTTACCAGGGGAGTGTGACATCACTGTTAAAAGGGGGCGTTTACCAAATAAATTTTGCACCCACCCTTCTTGTTACCATCACACTAGATAAGTTGGGTGGAAATTTTGATTTGCGCCACATTCATAATTGAAATCGCGTCGATTATAGTCGATTAAGAATTTTTTTTTTGTGTGGCCTATAAAAGTATATAAATTTAAATCATATAATTGAAATATTATATTTCTAATTTCCACATTTATTTACTGGAAATAAGGGTGTTTTATTATTTATTTTTTTTTTAACAAATAGTGTTAAATTTTTTATTTTATTATCATTTTGAAACAATAAAATATATATTTTTCAAAAGACCATATTAATTGCTGGAAAATACAGGATATGAACTACTCCGAACCGTTGTGGGAAATTAATGGAAATCAAGCACCGGTAAGTCGTCTATAATTTTATTTACAAAAATGAAATATTTTATGAAAAAAATATTTAATATTATTTGGGGTCACAGTCCACTGACTTTCGTCTAATAGTGGTTGCGACCAAATTTTAAAAAAATCTAGTTTTAATATATGTGAAACTCGATGATTTCCTGAGTTCATTAACGATAATATTATGGTAAAAATTTTATTCCCTTTAAAAATATTAAATATCAAAAGTAGGAGGTTCACAATGTGATTTTGTAACCTTAAATTTTTCAATTTTTTTTAAAAACGCTATTATTAAAAAACTATTAAAAATTAGATGTTGGAACTCACCAAAAACATAAATCACTTTATTCTGCACAGAGGAACGAAAGAATTATTGCAAAAATTTATTATTTTTGGAGGATATACGATTTAAAAAAAAATTTTATTTAAATATTCTTAAGATTTTTATTTACTTATAACTTTTTTGTCAGCGCTCCGAAAAAATTGAAGTTTTGCACATTAATTTTTTATAATATTCTTTACCTTCTATTAAAATCTTACGAAGGTGTTTTGCTTCGTTTTGGAGATATTAATTTTCAAAATTTTTTATTTAAAAAGGTTAATTAAAAGACTTGAAGTTAACTAACCAGATTCAAACTGCTCCATTTTTTATAAAAATATATTAAAATGTAGCGATTTGAAATTGGTCAGTTGACTTCAGGTCTTTTAATTAACCTTTTTAAGGGCAAGTCCAACATGTGAAATGTAAACAAACATGAAATGTAAACAAACCATGCACATTTTTTCGCAGTTCTCATTTGCGTAGAAAATAAAAATTTGTCGTTTTCTTTATGAAAATGGTAAATTAATGTATTAAAGTTGGTTACTATACTTCATTTAACTAATTATATGAAAAAATAAGTATAATTATAATGAAATGAAAAGTGCACTGAATTAGCAATTTTTTCAAGGTTTCGAAAAAAAAACCATTTGAGTATATCTGAGGCACGGACGTTGAGCGTCTAGGTGGGAGAAGAATGTTGAGCCATTGGACGGTCACATCTTGGAAAGGGTAAAATTCTGAAATTTTACCCCTTCTCTCACTTTCTCCCACCTAGGTCCTCAACGTCCGTGCCTCAGATATACTCGAATGCTTAAATTTTTCGTAACCTTGAGAAAATTGTTATTTCATTGTACTTTTCATTTCATTATAATTATACTTATTTGTTCACATAATTAGTTCAATAAAGTATAGTTACCTAGTCTAATATATAAATTTACCATTTTTACAAAGAATACGACAAATTTTTATTTTCTACCCAAATGAGAAGTGCGAAAAAAATGAGAAAATTGCTAATTCAGTGTACTTTTCATTTTATTATAATTATACTTATTTGTTCAGAAAAGTTGTTAAAAGAAGTATAGTAACCTAATACAATATATCAATTTACCATTTTCACAAAGAAAGTTACAAATTTTTATTTTCTATTCAAATGAGAACTGCGAAAAAATGGGTATGATTTGTTTAGATTTTGAACAGTTTTTTCGCAGTTCTCATTTGAATAGAAAATAAAAATTTGTAACTTTCTTTGTGAAAATGGTAAATTGATATATTATATTAGGTTACTATACTTCTTTTAACAACTTTTCTGAACAAATAAGTATAATTATAATAAAATGAAAAGTACACTGAATTAGCAATTTTCTTATTTTTTTCGCACTTCTCATTTGGGTAGAAAATAAAAATTTGTCGTTTTCTTTGTGAAAATGGTAAATTTATATATTATACTAGGTAACTATACTTTATTGAACTAATTATGTGAACAAATAAGTATAATTATAATGAAATGAAAAGTACAATGAAATAACAATTTTCTCAAGGTTACGAAAAATTTAAGCATTCGAGTATATCTGAGGCACGGACGTTGAGGACCTAGGTGGGAGAAAGTGAGAGAAGGGGTAAAATTTCAGAATTTTACTCTTTCCAAGATGTGACCGTCCAATGGCTCCACTCTTTCTCCCACCTAGGCGCTCAACGTCCGTGCCTCAGATATACTCAAATGGTTTTTTTTCGAAACCTTGAAAAAATTGCTAATTCAGTGCACTTTTCATTTCATTATAATTGTACTTATTTTTTCATATAATTAGTTAAATAAAGTATAGTAACCAACTTTAATACATTAATTTACCATTTTCATAAAGAAAACGACAATTTTTTATTTTCTACGCAAATGAGAACTGCGAAAAAATGTGCATGGTTTGTTTACATTTCATGTTTGTTTACATTTCACATGTTGGACATACCCTTAAATAAAAACTTTTGAAAATTAATATCTCCAAAACGAAGCAAAACACCTTCGTAAGATTTTAATAGAAGGTAAAGAATATTATAAAAAATCTTTGTGCAAAACCTCAATTTTTTCGGAGCACCGACAAAAAAGTTATAAGTAAATAAAAATCTTGAGAATATTTAAATAAAATTTTTTTTAAAATCGTATATCATCGAAAAATAATAAATTTTTTGCAATAATTCTTTCGTTCCTCTGTGCGAAATAAAGTGATTTATGTTTTTGGTGAGTTCCAACATCTAATTTTTAATAGTTTTTTAATAATAGCGTTTTTAAAAAAATTGAAAAATTTAAGGTTACAAATTCATATTGTGAACCTCCTACTTTTGATATTTAATATTTTTAAAGGGAATAAAATTTTTACCATAATATTATGGTTAATGAACTCAGGAAATCATCGAGTTTCACATATATTAAAACTAGATTTTTTTAAAATTTGGTCGCAACCACTATTAGACGAAAGTCAGTAGACTGACCCTTTGTCAAACTGAATAGGTATGTATCATATTTATGTTCTTCAATGAATTCAAAACAAAGTTTACTTTTTATGATGTCTTTGAAATTTTTTAAAATACAACAAAATTCTACAAATTCACTTTTATAAATCACGTTAAATAAATTCAAAAGTTTTGTAACTTTCATATTATAATTTTTTCTTTTTATAAATGATATAACTTTATTCACTTCCTCATTTCTTTTCATCGGATTTTGAAAAATTATTATATTATTATTTTCAATTGAAATCAATATAACTAACTGTTTTTACTCTAAACCAATTTTCATACTATATTATATAATTTACATCAAGAAAAATTTTTTAATCAAACCAAAAATTTCATATAAATTGAAATAAAAAACAATATATTTTTCTCATAGCTATAAATAACTATTTTTATTAAAAATAAAATTTTGTTGTACACTACACACTAAAAAAGAAATCTTGATTTCAGCCTATTTTTGAGGCTGAATTTAAGGTGTAAACGGAGTCAGACCAATTAAAAAAGGACAGACTTATGCAAAATATATGGGCTTAATTTAAGGTGTAAACGGTTTAAGACTTTGTTTTTACTGTGTAATAAAATTTATTTGAAAAAAAGTATTTGTTTAGCTTTAAAAAAAATATATTTTTTCTTTGAACAAAAAAAGAAAATTACAAAAAATTTAGAATTAAATTTTTATATGGTCAATTGGGGTAAATGGGGACAAAATCGCTATTTTTCACAAATTACGTATAAGTTTCTTCCTTTAAAAGGTAATATTTGCGGGTTTATTTTTTTTAAGTTGTTATTAACATTCCCAGGATTAATTTTATATTTTAGTTTACCGCTTGTGAGAAACGTTCAAACAATTTATTGAAAAAAAAAATAAAATAATTTAGATTCAATTATTTCTGAATATGATAACTAATTTTAAGACTACATATGACTAAATTAGGAAGCAAATAACTTATTTTATTTAAGTAATTAATTCACTTTTAATGAAAATTTTATTTAAAATTTATTGTGATTTAAATAGAAACAAATTAATGAAAAAAAATTATTTTGTTAAATAAATTATTTTCCCTGAAATTTAATTTAAAAATATGATTTAGTTTGAAAATACATTTGAGCAAAATTCAATTTTTTGTTTATTTCACCTCTAATAATAGTTAATGAATTAAAATAATTTTTCATTATGTTTTCTGAAAAATTGAAAAAATATTTTGCAATAATAATAATAATAATAATAATAATAATAATAATAATAATAATAATAATAATAATAATATATATAAAAGGTATAAAAAAGTAAATTATGATAAAAAATCTGGCAGCCCCCTGCGGGGGCGGCCACATTCTCATCACGCGCTTCGCGCGTAGGGGCTCGCTTCGCTCGCTAGTTTGAGCGCGCCCCGGGGCGCGCGAAGGATAATCGTCCCGCTTCGCGGTCCGATATTATTACGCGCTTCGCGCGTTTTGTTTGTTTATTACAATTCAAAACCTATTAGCATTAATTACTTTTTAACTACACTCTGTAATACAAAAATTTTCCTATTAAATTTAAACATTGTATTAATTGTACTACCAGAAAGTAGTTGAATGACCCAAGAATCTATTTGGTAGAATGAGATTTTGTAGTTGTTTTAGACTTTGTAGTTGATTTAATTAATTTTGAAGTAAAATGTCAAGAAGAAAGAAATTATTTTTATTTATTTTATTAAAAAGAATAAAATTAATTACACACAGAGTTAAAATAAGTAAAAAAGTAGTTATTTTAAAAGTGGATGTTCATATAATCGACTTGTTTTGAAAAATTTATTAGAAACAACTCATAGTCTTTATTAAAATGCGTTAAATTAAATTATAGAAATAGGTAAGGTTTAAAGGTATTAGAATAAATTTTTTATCGGGCAGTGAAGAATGACGGCACTGTAGCTGTTCAAACTTAGTTCCTTAATATTGCGCCGTGGATTGGCCAGGTCTTTGTAATTAACGAAAATCGACAAACCAAATTATTTACTAAAATAAGATATTCCGCTTTGAGCTAATTTCAATTGAGTAAAAGAAAAAATTAATTGAAGTGCGATTCCAGGTGAGATTTTGACTTTTTCGGAGTAGGTTAACCGATTGCAATGAAACTAATCTTTAACGTAAATTTCAGCTTAAAATATTTGTTAGTTTACGAGATTTGCAATAAT